CCCCCCCCCCCCCACTCCTTTGCTCTGTTTATAAGACTGACAAAAGCTGGCATTAAAAAATTGACAGTCTAGAAGCAATAACAGAGTGAAAACACCAGAGCGCTACGCTATGCATACATTTCCTAACTTTTTTCCTTTGTGATTTGTCCCCTTCGGACGATGTTGTATTTTGGCGTCGTTATATAGGTCTGTATTTTCTTCCGTTAATCCTGGTAGCTTTGTGTGAGTTATGTCCATTATTAAGTGATTATGGTTTTAATGTTACTCGGTTCTTCTTCTCCTGCTTGTTCCAACAGTGGCATATTATTCATCCAGTGTAATCTTCAGATTACTGCTGCATCTTCTTGTGTTCTCTTGTGGTAAGCGCACCCAGGGAAAACAAGAACACGTAGCAGATGCTTACTTTCTCTGAATTCTTTCGGTTTTGCCTGGAACCGTATATAACATAAATGTCCGAATAACTGATGTTATTTTCTTTCCTTTTTGTGTTTGTCGCCCGTTTTGCCGTACATGTCTAGTTGTCAGTAATATGACACCTCTGTGTATGTATGTGTGTGTGTGTGTGTGTGGGGGGGGTCCCTGCATGTATGTCGGTGTGTACATTCTATATCAAATCGTCTAAAGCCCCAGATTTTATTCTTTTCGTGCTGTTGCTAGGACACCAGTACATTTTTGCAATGCATAATGCGATCCCCATGCACCAGTAGAAATAAAACAGATGTATGAAGCCACGTCCTTCCGTTTTTAGAATCCGAATCAAGTGATGAGCAAGAATAATTCAGTGTTTGTTTCTTGCAATGTCAGTTAAGATGTTAAACTGTTCTGTTGCGAGTATTATTTACGTGGTTCATGAAGTTTATTAAAAATTTATGCAGCGGATTAAGAGGAAAATGGGAGAAGAGTGACGACTGTACTAAAACGTGACGTTAATGTTCATTCAGTAAGAAATAAAATTAAATTGCCTGTCGCTCAAAAAGGATGTTTCTTAGTGACCTACTTATTTACTTACTGACTTACTCATGGAGCTGAGCCCTTGTTGAGCCGCCAATTCTGCGGCTACTCAAGAATTTTCTAGCATTTTATGGAACTCCAATATTCATTACCGTGTTCACAAGAGCCGTCCACTGGTCCCTATCCTGAGCCAGATCAATCCAATCAATACCATCCCATCCTATCTCTCCAAGATCCATTTTGATATTGTCCACACAACTACGCTTTAGTCTTCCCAGTGGTCTTTTTCTTTTTGACTTTCCCACCAATATATATGCGTTCCTCTTCTCCCCAATTCGTGCTACATGCCCTGCCCACCTCATCCTCCTTGATCATTCTGATTATACTTTGAGAAGAGTACAAGTACACTTCATCTCTTTTCGGCTTAGTGACCTACACTAAATTTAATTGTATCAATCCGCCATATTCATTTGCTTTTAGACGCCTATGCCATTGCAGCAAGTCACTAGTTCTCATACATGTCACTGGTCCAGTTCTTGGCAGTACTATATATACGGGACAGAACGCTATTTCACTGTAAGGCATTCGCTGCTTCATGTATAGGATATCAGTGCCATACTAGAACGTGCATTGGCCAGATGAGTCTATGGTTATTTTGACCGACATTACCCCAGGTCGCGCATCGGCTGACAGAATAATAGGGTATAATTATCAGCTCACACAATATGAGGAAGAAGTAAATTAAATTGTGGCCTTTGTAAGTGTCAGATTAGTGTAAAATAGAGTACACTGATTGAATTTTGAATGTGATAAACAGATTAACATCACTTTTATTACTTCTCATCGATTTAATTAATAGTCACTGTGCTTGAATATTTGGATACACTTTAAAAGACATACGGAACTTATAAAGTTCCGATCAATAGATGATGCTTCACTTATTGTCTGCGATATGGTAACTGGTTCCATAGATAGATTACTACTGCCCTTTTTGAGGAGCTGATCGTCGTTCATCTGGTGAAGAAACCACTTGCCATTTATGGACCCCGAAAGTTATTACCGTGTACACAAGAGCCCGCGATTGAACCCCTATCTTGAGCCAGCTGAATCCTATCCACATCTTCACATTCTGTTCCTATAATATTCACTTGAATGTTATTCTTCCATGTACACTAATTTAAGTAATTAATTTATTTCGTTCAAGTTTTCGGACGAAAATGCCACATCTAAATGTGAAGCTCCCTAGTAGGATTTTCCATATTTTCCTCTTACTTAGGGCCCTTGGAGCGCTCTTCGGCACTTAAAAATGTATCCCCGCGACAGTAATATCAGTATTTCACTATATTTTGTTAAACCTGCAAGCTTATACCAACAACGAAATATTTAGAGCTCATAAGCAGGATCTTGTCGATTAACAGTTGGAACAAAAGACCACTCTCTCCTGTTGTTTCGATGATCCTACGCTAGTAAAAAGAAAATACGATAATACTTGTACATAAACTCCACTGCCACATGCCCTTCTTCATGGTAATAAAATAAGGAGAAATGGAGCTTCATTTGTAATATTTTAATCGGATTCCAGTAAATTCTTCAGAGAAGTGTAAGCACAATTACTCATCGTCTCCGAGAGGTCTTCACAGGGAAATACTGTACAGAACTATGTGCATGAGGATCGCATTGGAACTCCTGCGGCCCAGAATTATGTATTTAAATGAAAGTTTAATAAAGCAGAGCTCTGCCAAACTCTGTTGTATGTCCAGAATTACGCTTTTCTGTGCATCTGTCGTGGAAAAAGTGGAGATGATGCTCGTCGCATTGACTGAGCGTCAGAAGTCAGCAACACATGCCTTTGTCTGTTTGGGGTATTCATGAAAAGTAGCAGGTTTGTACGAAAATATAAACTACTGTACAATATAAAGTACTTCTGAACGTGTGGCAGAGTCTTTCACTGCTAGTGTACCGTGATATTGAACGCTTCAGGACCCTTCGTGACTTTCATAACTAAAAAATAATCGATGTAGCTGCTGATTCAGATTATTCAGGAAAAATAGAAGACTTCCACCGATGATGATGATGATGATGATGATGATGATGATTCAGGACAGCAATAGAAATAATAATCTTTCATAAAGAAAAGTGATGTTCGATTAATGTTTGGGAACTCAGCGTTCTATGTTATTTCTACAGAAAATTAATCGAACGTCATTTTCCTTTATGAAACATTGTTATTTCGATTGCTGTTCTGAATCATCATCATCATCTTCATCATCGGCAGAAGTCTTTTATATATATATATAAATCTCGCGAAGTGGGAGTTTCGAGGAAGACTCATAAATCCTATGTTCATACTGCATAGATTTGGTATCGTACAGATCTATCGCTATTAGTATTTTAGTATTAGTGCTATATTACGCTCTTATGAAGAGCTTATCACGCATATAGAGCTTCTGTCTTAATTAATTATCTTGTTTATCCTCAAAGTTTCGCATTATCACCACGTTTATAATTGTTTAACCTACAAACACTCTTTCATACATGATGTGTGTATATTTACAATCAATCTCCATGCCCAATTTCATATGGCTGTCTTTAGCGAATCTTTAGTTATTGTCGTCAAACCTAACGCGATAGACGCGTTTCGCGCTGCCGCCATGTTAATACTTTCTATTCTGCAAAAGAATTATAAAAAAAGTTGCTTACGCCTACGTGTTTCGAAGATCTGTTACCATATGTCCGTTTAGAATCCTGTATTAAATGTCGGTTTCGAAATGTGGTGTTGGAGAAGGATGGAGAAGATCAGTTGGACCGATTATGTGAGAAATGAAGAAGTGTTAATTAGAGTCAGTGAGCAGAGGAATATCCTACACGAAATAAAAAAACGGAAGGCAAATTGGATTGGTCATGTTTTACACAGAAACTGCCTTCTAAAAGAAGTTATTGAAGGAAAGATAGAGGGGCGGATAGAAGTGACAAGAAGACATAAGAAGATGCTGGATGACCTTGGGGACAGAAGAGGATACTGTCATTTGAAGGAGAAAGCTCTAGATCGCATTAAGTGGAGGAATTGTTTTGGAAGAGACTGTGGACCTGTCGGCTGACAGATTACTGATGATGATGATGATGATGATGATGATGAAATGTCGCAGGTGTTAGTGATGTAGACTGTTGCAACTTAATTAGAAAGTTAACTAGATTCAATTTTTGACATACTTCCAATATTCGTAGCCCAATGGAAAATTTGAACATATTTACAGAGAACGTTTTTTCCATAAGGTTGCCTACACAAAGTATAATGTACCCTGGTTCATAGAGTTTATAGACTTTATGATTGTGCATTACATAAATTGAAATGATTACTATTGTGTATGCAAGATATATTAATCTTCCAAGCTGATGAGGTAGTATTGTCACAGGGCATTAGTTTTAATGTTTACTGTCAAGATGTAAGTAAGAAACAGAAGAGTATCAGAATGCAAGGCTTCAGTAAGGATGATGTAATGTGTTCCAGGAGATGTAATCCTTGTCCTGTTGTGAAGCCGACCTTCCTGTGTGGTACAGATAATAGAACATATAGTTCATTATGTCGCCTGGACTACCACAACTGCATCCACCACACAGTAATCCGTGTTGGCTGCAAAGGATTTTGTCCGTGCAAAGGTAAGAACTGTACAATTTAAAGTATGATAAGTGAAAAATTAAAGGCAGTTTACTTCACTTCAAAACTGAATTTTGCAGTACCGAAAAATGTGGCTTATCTAAGCAATATAGACCACCCCTCACTTGGAACCTTCATGATGACCAAAGGTGAGATAACATCTCTGGATACCAGCTTGCATCAGTTTGGAATAAAAGTCCTTCTCAGATACCTGAGCTCTCTCCATCATCAAGAAATCTTTTTGATTCCCTTGATGGTGGAAATAGCAGGTCTCCAAAATGTTGGATTTCTCTTCCAGAGTGATGTGACTTGTAAGACTAGAGGCTTTTATCACAGTTTGTTTCAATTATCTTTTGAGTAATCACAATTATGCTTTTTATGTTTAACATGGTGCTTCCTTAACAGAATGCGCCAAAGTAGGAGAACAATCTGTCATCTGATTTTATGGTCAGAGGATTGGAAAATGGGTGAAATTTATACTGAAATTGCAGTTCAGTTTTGCAGTAACTGTATGCACTAGAGAAAAGTTTATGAATTGTAATTTCAGCATCGTTCCATTTTTCTTAATTATATTCAAAACTTGGAATGACCTCAGCCTATGACCAGCACCTGAATTAGCACAAAATTCCCTGAATTCTTTGTTCCTTGGGCATGTCATTCTCCAGTCGCAGGAAGATTCATAACATCTGTGGTGATGAAATGCAAAGTGCATGTTGTTAAAGATTGGCCATAGCTGGTTCTGTGTTGGCAGCAGGTGCTCTGAAACACTTGCTTCATTCTCTCTATCCTTGATCTGATTTTATGTAACAAAAGAGAAAATATCACTGCAAAAGAATAGTGCATGTAGGTTGGATATTTCAGTTCTTTGTGTAAGAGCAAGTTTAACTAGATAAGAGAGGTCTGTTTGAAGGCCTGGTTTCAAATTGACCACGCACTTAACTTGTATTCTACCAGGCCAGCCTGCATTATCCTGATATAAATTACATTTATGTTCCTATGGAACAGTAGTGTTTACTTAAATTAGGGTAGGCCATAGTTGAACACACATTGGCAGTTCATATAATTAGTTTCATACTTTCCTGCTCAGTCACTAATGGTGCTGCAAAAGAAAGGTGTGGCTGAAAAATCAGTATGCTAAATGTTGCCTGGCATGTACTGTCTTTGCTCACTTGGAAACCGGGATCGTGGGTTCGAATCCCACTCAGGGCATGGATGTTTAGTTTGTGTGTGTGCGTTTTTCTGTGTTTATGTACAGGTAGAGGCCTTGCGACGAGCTGATCACCCGCCCAAGGAGTCCTACCAAATGTGTAAGATCTAGAAAAACCGAAGTGAACAGAGAAGTTCATGGAGGTAGGCCTTGGCCCACTGGGGCTGTAGTGCCAAGGGGGGGAAAAATGTTGCCTTTGATGCTGATGGTTGGTTGTAGTCATTAAAAATTAATTTACTCTGTGTCCCTGCAGTTGTTTTTATTTTTGTGTTGTGGGTTACTTTTTTATATACTTGTTACAATTATTGAAAACAGTGCAGGTATTCAATACCTGACATTTTAAGATTCTGAATATACCCCTTTATTATTTAATTAAATTAAATTGCAGAAAACCCTGTTAGAGACCAGATGAAGAGTATTTGTTCCTAAGTGAAGAAGGATTTTTTCTGATGCATTTGTTGTTTCTCAGTAGTAGAAATTTTGACAAAACTTCAGTCATAATGTCCATAGAGCAAAAAAAAATTATAGCATTGCTATGAAAAATGGAAAGCCTGTTTCAAGTTCACACTTAGCTGACAGTTATAACAAATGAGATGCAAAATTATGAATATCACTTTATTAAATTTAACTGCGAATCACTGTCCCCAAACTGTAAAACTCTGTATCCAGTTTGTGTTACTTCAGTGATTTTCTACTGGGCCCCTCTTCTGTAATGGAGACATCAAGTGAACTGTGCTTATGGGAATTTCCCCATCATTTAGTCTTTACATTAATTTCATGTACATCATGATCGGAATGCAGTGATTTATGGTTTTGAAAAGTGTTTTAACTTTCTTCAATAAAACCTCCAGTTCATGGCTGTAGATGTAGTGATTACATTATACTCCTTTCATTAATGGTCAAGATGGTGAACTCCACATGCGAAAGAAACAGCGCCAGTCAGAGAAACTGAACAGCCTGATGAACAAATACAAGCTTACTGCTGAGAAGGAAAAGAAACAACAGCAGCAACAACAGCAGCAGCTCAGCAAGAACAACGGCAACAAACCCATCAGAGTGCCGCAGGACAAGTACACCTTCACACCCGAGGATTTCAAATATGAAAACAAACACTACAAGTATATCAAATACACAAAGTATAATAAGGTAAGTGAAATAATTTCACATTAAGAACAGTAATGATAGTAACACCACATTTGGTTTGTTATGCAAACTGAGAGATAGTTATGGTTTTGCAGTCTTATGAGAAACCTTCTTATATTGTCTTCTGTTGTATCATCATATTTCAGATATTATCATTAGTATAAATAGACACTTTGGTACTGTTATCACGTTGTGTGTTATGTGTATCTTCCAGATGTATTCTTCTTTTCAAACGGCACCTTTCACTTTCATGAGTCCAACATCACATGCTTCAACATTGTAACATTGCAATTATTATACTTAAATGAGTAGTTCTTGCATTGTTATGACTTGCAATCTAACAGGTCGCTACCAACATGTCAGAGAAACCTGCTGTCTCCATTTTTACGCTGACAATTGGAGCAGCAATTTCCTCCAAAAATTAGTCAGCAGTCTGTGAGATTTAAGTGTTGTCTTAACTCAGAAGGTCACAGTCTAAATAAAATTGTCATTGGGGCAATTATTTATTTGTCTGTTTATTTTTATATTTAACCCTGTAAAGGACAATGATTATTATTCATACAATCTGCTTTATCATTAAAGAAACTTCAGATTTTACTCACAGAATATGTTTATGTGTTTTGTGATTCTCAAGATAAATAGCAAATATTCCTCTTTCCTCCACGATATTAACTAGTTGGGTCTTTAGGGTGGAGACACATTGGTTTTTGTGAGACAGGAACTGAATTGTGTAATCTTACTTGTAAGAAATTTGTTTCCCATAGGGTTAAAGTCTGCTCACTTTCACTTGTTTTAATGATCAGAAAGTAATACAGGGTCTGACAAAAAGCATAGACATTTAATTTACAGCCACTTTCTAATGGTCAAAGTGGCAGAACTGCAGTTTGTGCCAGACTGTAACACAGTTAAAAGCCTTAGTTATCATGGAACAGTGGCCAATTACAGTAATGTCAAAGATAACATCCAAAATTTAACAAGATCTGAAATTCTGAAGAAATAAAAACATTTTTCTGAAGTAATCAGAAACTTTTAAATAAATTAAAAAAAAATATTTAAATCACTGAAAAATTGAAAAATAGAAATCTGAGAAATTATGGAAAAGAGACAACCACTAAAAGGCTGTTGAATGAAGAAAGCCCGAAAAGGTTTATTCCTTATGGGTTATGATCCGCTGGTTGAAACACACTGCTCTACAACACTTCTACAGCATTTAAAATTAAAACTGCTCACATTTCTGCAAACTTGCAACTCTCATTCATAAGTAACTCTGAATGAATGCAATTCTGAATTCTGGCAGTAATTTCTATTTGAAACTGTTCTTAGAACTGCCTTGTAACTAGTCTCCACTACAAAATAGTCTGTAGAAATTTTATGGTTTTTGTTTGAGTCTCCAGGCTAAAGATGGGTGCTTTCTGGTAGAATATTCTCGTGGGAAGGGGATTCTTCCTCGATAGTTTATGGTTTAGTGTGCAGAGTTGGAAGCAGGAGAGGATGAGAGTAGGCAATTCCAAGCAGAGAATGGACCATAGCTACCCCAGCTAAGTAATTCTCATCAGTGTGCAAAGTCCTACACAGTTTCATGACCATGAGGATTAATAGTTAAGTCTTTGGGTTTATGGCACCCTGGTGTTATGGAAGAAACTGTGACCTAATAGACGAAGTGGCTGTTCTGTCTTCAGAATAGAAGGATGGTTGTCTGTAATTTCTGTCTGTGTTCCTAAGTGAATAGAGTTCCCCAATTTGAACCTTTATTTGTGATTTTGTTTCTCACAAATTTATTATTATGCAATGCTGATAAAAATGATTGAGTTATGGCTACTTTTAAGTGGTATTTCATTCAGTATTCACTATATTGAAAAATGTGTTAGAATTTTGAGATATTAATGATATCTGTATTGTATGTCATGTACCAGATTTTTTCTAGTGAGAAATTTTTGTGAAATTGATAATGTTTGATTTGAATTTCAGGAAAAGTAGCAAGTATCTTAAACTGATATGAACCACAATTAAATTTTCTCTACAGGATGTAGTGTAGACACCCATTAAATAAAGAACCAAGCAAAGCATAGTTGTGTATTTGTTATAGTTGTAAGTGCGTTTTCATTGAATTTACTGTATGCTAGTGTGTCCTTTGTTGTTTGTGTAGTTTTGTGTGCTGTGTTATTTTGTGTGATGTGTGCTATTTGTGTGTTGTGTCTTATTGTAGTACCACTGACACCGGGCAAAAACCCATTTGCAGTTTAAATGAATAAATAAATAATAATAAAAAGCAATAAATCATAAATCAATGAACTTGGGGTGTTTCACTCTGGGATGTAATTCAGAGTCTTCAGAATGAGAAGTCTAGGCCCAAGCTCATTCGTTTTGAATACCTGTCATATGAGAGGTGAAGTGATGCCAAAGAAAAAACAATACTTCCATGTCTCGTGGCATTTCCTTAAGCCGGAAACAAATCTCATCCTCTGTTCTGTTTTCATTGAGAATGTCTGAGTAACGCTTTATCTTTCCAGGTTTCCTTGGGTGTCTTATGTTACAGATCTCTTCTTTCTGTGGGATGCCTTTTCTGATCTATTTATCTTCACTCTTCAGTTTTTCTCCTTTTATTATTGTTATTTATGAAGGCAGTGTTCATGGCATTAATCATCTTCATTTCTTAAGGATGATATCTAAAAATTACAATTTGTCTCTCTCCCTTCCCCCTCTCTCATCATCATCATCATCATCATCATCATCATCATCATCATCATAGATGCCAACAGATAGAGGTGTGGGGGGCAAGCCAGGTGACCCCTCCCCGCAATTAAAAATGAAAACTGAAGGAAATATACCAAATGTTAATATTGAAGGATCTTGGACTCAGTTTGTGATGCCATCTCTATTTCATCACAGACCCATGAAGCAGAATGGCAGCCTGGAGGTGAAGATCCACACAATTTAAAATCCTTGCTTGTGATGGACCCTCCAGTTTTACACCCTGACCACTTTCACCTCTGGGTAAACATACACTGCGCCTGACCCAAATGTGACAGTAAAAATGTCTAAGACAAGTATTTTATCTACCATTTTATCAGCACCTTCTCCAACATGTTGCTTTAGTGTACTGTATTTTTGCCTTGAATTTATATCAGTTAGTGCCAATTTATGCTCTTTCACCTCCAGATCACCCACTGCCCTCTCCTTCTCATTCACTCTTTTTACCCCCCCCCCTCCCCCCCCCCCCCCCCCACTTCCGCCACTCCCTATACTCTCTGTTAT